AAAAAGACATGATGTTGAGCCATTTTACTAAAGATTCAACATATGTGAGTTCCTATATTACGTCCCCATCGTTAATAAGTAATAAGCTCACGTCCATCGTTAGCTAGGTTCTTGCCAGTGATTCCTCCTCTCATACAAGATTACTTCGAGCTGTGCTAATGAATCCATTTTAATAGTAGATCATGAAAAATACATATTTAGGATCTTGAATCACGTGTTAACTACCTCTGCTCTCATTATCCAATTAAAGTAAGAGAACTCCAATTTTGCCTCTACCATAAGGAGTACATATTCATCTTCTCTCACTTTCTTGACAGATCCTCCTTCATATGTTGTTATCTCCTAACAAAAATTTCTTCTTCTTTCAAGACAATTGGTATTTAACCACTTGATGCTAATGAAGGTGGCATCCAAGTAACAAGAGCTTCAAAGGCAACCATCCTCATAATTATCTAATCATCCATAGCTAGGTCATCTGCCCTTTCAAGCTTAGCAAATAGGCTCAAGAGAAACTCTTTAATTACCTATTTTATTTCCACATTGTTATAGATCTCAGGTTCAATAAAGTCACCAACAATATCCTTCTAAATTCTCATCCAAGCATAAAAATTTTTGTAGAAGTTGGAACCAGAGCTTTATTGCCAATTACATCTGGATTTAGAGCGAGAGAAACTGGAACCGATAGAAAAATAACTAGGTCTATAGATGTACTGAAAGAATAGATTGAATTACTTATCTACCCTAGGACGTGAGAAGGGGATCTTTAGCCATCTTGGAATCCATGCATAAAAGTTTGGTCATGTCTTGGAAGACATGCCAGTGGTGATCAAAGAGAGATATTAGTGATGCAGAAGCGGTCTTGTAGGGGTGTCATCCATGACCCCTGCCACACTGCAGCGTGAGATTGCGACTTAGATTGGTCCAGGAGGGCCAATCGACATTTCCTTTTCGTGGATTTCCCTCTTATTTGAGTGGGGACCACTCCAATTTATCCGAAGTCTATAAATATACAGTGTTCAAGTTTTATGACAGTTTTTCTTTGTGTTTTATGTCAGAAAAGTCGTCGACGTCCACGTTTTCACTTCTAGGGTTATATCCAACGATGAGTGGTGTTCCGACTATATCTCATCCTAGGCGATGATTATCCTCGACCTCCTCACATCCTCCACAACCTTCCCTTTGTCATTGTCACTGCCTTCCCCACTGCAGCCACCCTGCAATAGCCATCTTGGTTATTCTCCCTACAGTTTCCCCATCTCTCAACAGCCAGCTGCCTGCCAACCTAGTTGCCTCTATGTTCTACCATCCCAACACCATCCTCCACTTCTCCTAATCTTTTGCCTCGTTGCCAAAGCCCCATAAGCCCCTTGCCTTATTGTCCAATGCTTTACCAGCCACTTGAACCACATCCCTGCCACCTAGCTGATATTTCAGCACTTTCCCTGCAGTGTCATTGTTGTTCCAGCAGCCCAAAACCAATCCCTGTGTCGTTGCACTGTTGTCTCAGCCGCTGGAACCACCTCCCCACAGCCTATCTGTAGTTCCCGCCGCCCAAAACTGCCCCTAGCCGTTGTTTCTTCACCACACAACCACCTACCCCCTTGTTACTGCCTCTCCAAGCCCCCTCATAGCCGCCTCCACCAACACCAGAGATCCACCCGTAGTTGAGTTTGTTTGTGTTTGTTGTTATATTTCCCTTTTAAGAGTGCTTGACTGTAACCGCCTATTCGTTTTAATAATAATATTTGTTTCACTTATGGTGGTTTGGGTTAACTCTGGATAGCTATGAGACACGATGCCGTTAGAGGATGTGGGGCGGAAAATCCTCCAACTGCAACAGAGGCTTGCTGTCTTCGAGATGAGGCAATCCAGACAAGTTACCTATAGACACAATGGTGACTTGCTAGATCGAAGGAATAGAGTGAATCTCTTCCACTATGCAGATTCCAGGAATAAAAAACCTGTATCCCAAAGATTTGACCAGAAATATCTGAGAATCCAGGAACTTGTTGTCTTGTTTTTTTGCTAGCCAACCAGCTTGTCCAACATCCTGCCAACTTACCGACCCTCACCGACCACCTCAATCGTCCCTTGATTCAACCTTAACGGGAGTTAGTGCCGTGTCTGTTATTTTTTCTTATTTCAATTGGTTGTTTGTAACTTCTTATTTGAATTTCAATAATCACTCTATCGTTCATGAACAAGCCTTAAGAAGAGGAAATAGGAGGAGAAATTATGCTGATCATTTTATACATATCTCTGATTCATTTAGGAAAAGAATATTCATGCAATGATGGCTCCCCAAGAGGCATTTATGTGTACTATGGAAAATTGAAAACTCACCACATCAGGATAGCTACAGCAAAGTACCGAGAAAACACATCAGCTTCAGGTTCAGTCACTTGATCAAGTTTGGTTATTAACTACATCATTTTAATTCATCACAAGATTGGCCTTATAAAAAATCATTTGTATGAAGTTTGAGTTCTGCCGACAAAGGAAACATTACATAGACTGAATGGATTGCATTTCTTGGATCAATCAAACAATTAGTTCAATGGGCTGTAAAATAGTCAACATCATCATACAAGTGTTGAACTTGATTCTATATTATCCTATTCGTTTATTAATTTCAACTGCAAGAACAAAAGGCTAAAAAGGCAATGCAAGAACCGAGAGAATCTCCAAACCCAAGATCAGTCCAATTGGAATCAAAAGCCATCAAGTTTCACTTTATCCAAATTAAAGGACGAATATTCAAGTTCTAAATTTTTTGAACCTTCCAGATCATGAGATTAAGAAAAGCTTCAAGCATTAAAGAAGGCATCAAATCTAAAGAAATAGAAATTGGTAAGCCATACCCTAATCCAAGGCTTAGTTTGAATATTTAGGGTTTGGTGAAGGTAAATATTTAGGGTTTCATTTAGGGTTTCCTTTTGTTATATTTTTTTTGAATAATTGTTCAACTTTAGGTGCATTGGATTAGATTTATTTCTTATTTGAACGGAGCCTTTTATAAGATCATACGGATCCAATTTTATTTTCTATAAATAGGAGGTTCTTAGATATTAATTCTTAATAGTTGAAAAATGAATGACCCCCAAAACCCCTTTTCATTCCCCATTATCATGCCAATTGTGTTAGCATAGCCAACAACACAAGTCCTCTCTGTACATCGACACAAATTAGGGTTTGGAAATCATCATCTCCAAAGGCAGACATCACATCACATCATGTTGTTCTTATTTGTCTCTCATGTTGTTAAACACTTTTTTCTTGAAACCCTACTCCTTGAATACCATTAAGAAATATGCATGCTTGAAAGCTTCTACGTTGGGAAATCATAATCCTCAATAAACCCTAGTCTTGATTCTTGATTCTTACAAGAAACCCTAATCTTCTTGCCAATTTTTAAGCTTCCGCATGTGTTAATAGGCTGATCTACTGCAAAGCAACGCATGGGGTTCTTGACTGCAAAATGAAAATTCCATGCAATCTTGAGGAGCCGACAGATTGATTTTCCCAATTATAGGTACCCCTACATACGGTCGGGTACACTATAATAATAAAAAACAAACAAATTTGCTTCATAGTAGAGAAAACAAAACAAGAAGGCTCGTCTCTTCTACTCTTTTACAGTGGAGAATTACTTTTACAAGGATGGGTAACAGAATGGTTGATTCATTAAACTAACAATGTTCGGCCAATACGTTACACTAAATCACAAAGATAAATTTCTAAGGTTCAAATAATTTCAGCATATTTCTGGAAGATTAAACAATGTGAGGGGAAACAGGTAATTCACCCCAGCTGTAACGGCATGTAACTAACCCTTATTCTTAAAATAATAATTTCTTAGATATTTCATTTATTTAGAGAAGATGCAACTACAATAACAACAATGAAAACAACAACAAGTCTTTATCCCACTAAGTGGCGTCGGCTACATGAATCCTTTTTCTCCAATCCTTTTTCTCCATTGAATCCTTTTTCTCCATTGCGTCCTATGGAGTGTCATATTTTCATTTAATTCTAATAGATTAAGATCATTTTTTATACAATATGCCCAAATCTTTTCAGGTGTACCTCTGTCTTTCATAACATAATTCAAATCTAAAACATCTACTCTTCTAACGAGATCATCAGATGGTCGGCGTTTAATGTGAACAAACCATCTAAGACGATTCTCTCTATCTAGTTCGCCATTGGTACTACACCAACCCTATCACAGATACAACTAAGAAGTTAAATTACTTGAAAATATTAATTTTAGTTTTCAATACAACAACAACAAAACAACAACAAAGCCTTAATCCCATTACGTGGGGTCGGCAAATTTTAGTTTTCAATATAAGGACTAAAATTGTAAAACGATTTATCAATCAAATAATCGAACTTGTTGCAAAAATAATATAAATAGGAAAAATGGATAAAATGAAACAATTCAATAATAAGTGAAAAAAATTTTAGTTGATTTAAGGGTTGAGGTTAAACGTTATAACAAAATAATCAAATACTACTAGTGGATAGACAATTTATGCACTTCTAGTAATACGGTAATTAGATATTTCTGATGTACTGAATCTTTTATCCCACGATGACAAAGCAATTCTTCCATTTTCAATTTGATGTTCTAGTTTTATTATAAGCCGATGCTTATGAGCCCAAGCTCACCCAGTTATGCTTTCTTTAATAACAAAAACAGAACTAAACCTATAAAAAGTTTACTTGGATATGCTTGGGACCTTACTAAATGCAAATTGTAGTATTTTTTTCTATTTCCTTCCTATTTACTTGAGACGTAAAACAAGAATCACGACAATGAAAAGCAACAGAAAGACATCAAAATTGTAATGCAATCAAACACACATAACCAAGATCACATGAATTAATTCTAAACTGTACAGTCAAAATCAGCACAAAAGGAAACTACCACATTTTTTTCATCAAAATAAGAAAAAAAAATGAGACATACTTTTAAACAGAAAAATGAGCAATACCTTCCTTGGCGAAGAGACACGATTCCTGATCATATGGACCCAAATCCATGCCAAGTATCTATACGTGTTAGGATAAAAAGCAATGGTGTTAACTTTTGGATGCAAATTTTCCCAGGCTGAAAAGAATCAACAAATAAAAAAAAGCAACATAATTTTATGAGAGGTGAAATATTTTACCATTGCCTCTACATCAGAAAAGTTAGGAACATCATCTTCTTCGTCGTCATCTTCATTCTCAAAAAATTCCTCCTCCCTGTCTGAAATTGACATTGTTGGAAGCGAGTCTACACAACCCAACTCTGAGGAAACCAACTTGGGGTGTGATGGCATACAAGCAACTTGCATATTTAATTCCTTTTTAGATCACAGAAAGTAGCATAATCAGAGCATTAAACTGTTACTTTGAAATAAAACATAAATAAACATTAAGAAAATATCATATTCAATGCTTCCAAACATACAGTAGTAGCATCTTGCTTCAAAGAAAGGTCTGATGCAGAGTGTGAAGCAATAGCTGGTATCAAACTTGGATTATCCATATCCTTGTTTGATACAGTGGATAATCCGCATACCAAATCCCTGTCAGATGACAAACTTTCAAGCCTGCAATCCACGGTTGAGTGCAGTAAACCTACTCCTGCCTTGAAAATGGGCACATTAGGCTGTACGCTTGCTGCATTCACTTCCTTAAGCAGAGTAGAATCTCCTGAAGTTGCCTTCCCATAATGAGTCATAGTGGATGAAATATCTTGCCTCATATTAGTAGGAAATGCTTGAAACAACTTTGCAGGCAAAGTAACATTATCATTGCAAGGAATATCCTGGTCCTCTGCATTCAATACACAGATCATTAACTTTTCTGCAGGTGCTTCAGTAGGAGATGCTCCTGAAGTTGAGGACAAAGCGCATACTTCTGGAACAGCAGAACACTGAAGATCATTTTTGACATTATGGATCTGCTCATGAATAGTTCCATGTTCTACAGAACTCTCAGCATCATTACAAGCAGGAATATCGAAAGCCTCGGCAGGTTTAGGATCACCAGGGATGGGCGAGTTACCAATGTTAGTAGAAGTAGGAGAATTGAGAAATATAGAGCCAAGCCCATTCAAGCAGGACCCGTCTCCAATATCATCCTCATCCACATCAATCAAAAGGAGCTCCTCATCATCAGTAAAGCTCATGCAAGGGTCAGAGAAGTCGATAAAGTTGGCTTCCAACAATATTTCTGAATTATTTAATGCAATGGTAGCTGTATCATTATTTAGCTTGCCCTTTGCAGTAGCATCATCACAAGCTTGATCACCTATTTTCATGGTACATTGCATGGTGACCAATTCTTGACCTTTTTCCTCAAACTGCCCCTCCATTTGAAGAGTTGGTCTAGAAACATCCTCAATCGTTTTCCAAATCGGATGATCAGGTGGAGAGGAATACCCAAGCTGATGAAATGTAGAGGTAGATCCTGGAGCATTTGATGTCTGTAATGAGCAATGATTTCTATCGAGTGCATGAGGAAAATCTTCTGGAGTGAAGTTAGGTTCAAAACTATCGCCAGCATCATTAAATCCAGCTTCATCTATTGGAACAGAAGAAATATTTTCCCCATGCCCATATGAGCAATCTGTTCCCAATACTCCAACTGGAAGTTTGGCCTCAATTGAGCCAGCCACACCTTCATGGACTGCAAGGCCACTAACAGTAGCAATAGGCTCAACCTCAACCATTTTTGGATAAATAGGTTGGCAGCCACCATAACTTGTTTCTGGATGCCCAAAGTTGCCAGAGAAAGGTTCATCAACGTGAAATTTATTGAGAGCAAACTCATTGTGAAACTTAAAATGATGTGAGCTGCTGTCATTGTCAATAGCAACATGTGAAATTGGTGACATCGGAAAGCCTAATTTAACAGAACTATGTGTTTCACTTCGTGCTTTCTTTCGTGTTGTGAAATAGTGACACTGCAAACTTTCTCCTTTTCTTCTCCCAGATGAGGTCTTTTTTATTTTGGAATTCCAAGTTCGGCCAGGTCTGGAAGGATTGTAGACTGATACTCCAATCTCAATCTCTACAATACGAGTTGATGCCTCAGTTGATGTATTCAAGTCATATAGGAGCGCATGCCACCGCTCCTCAAGTTCTTGAATAGTGAACCGTTGCGAAAATTGCACAGCACCTTTAGCCAATGACTCCAAGGATGCACCAGCCTGTTTCAAGAATGCCATGAAGATCCCACACGTAATAAAACAAATACATGTCTAACAGCTCTCATCGACAAAGCACCATATTTTACAGGACCACTGCCTTGTGCCAAAATATAAATGACCATGAATTAATCAGAAAAATAATAAAAAAAAAATAGCATCCACTTCAAGAGCATATCTAAATTCCAAATATAATAGAACATATAACATTGTCATAATGCCAGCAGCCTCATTACTAAGAATTCCAGAATGTGCTTTTGAAGCCAAAAATTAGAAAACAGTACTAGGACAAAAGCACAGCAAACCCCATGCTTTACAGCACCTCGGTTAGTGGATAAAACTAACGTGTGTTAGAATAAGCCGTGAGGTTTGCTGTTCCAGAGATAATATTCTCGGACTTTATTTTCACTCTTGGACTGCCCAGCATTTGTCTCCTTTGTTTTCCCCCAAAAATTTGTAGCTATTTTATTTTCATAATGATACTTCTAAGTTATTACATGCTGAAAAAAATTCTGTTGGCCTGATGGTAGCGTTGATGGGACACTTTAAGCTCGGAACAATTCCAATGGATAAACAATTGTAAGCGAGATGTCTGTGCCTCAAATGAGGGTTTGTGTTAGGGTTTGTGCTCCTGTGAAAATTCTCCAACTCTTAAATTAGTAAATAAGAATAAAAGGGTGAGAACTGAATGACGTCGAAGCAGCAAGGGGTTATTTAATACCGAGCACTGACCCATACAGCCAAATGTGGTAGATCTATAGCTCCCCAGCTTTAACTTTCTCAGGCAAGAGTGAAAAACGAACATAAAAAATAAAATTAACTTAAGCACCCTTATTTATAGCCATTTTCAATACGGCGTAAGCATTTAGAAATATAGTGATGGAGATGTTATTTCACTAGATACTTACCTGGTGTGGAAGACCCACCACCATGTGACATCCAAGCATTTTGAGGCTATACATCAGGTTATTCCAATCCGGTGACTACAAGTAATGCCATGTCATCTTCAATGAACATGGAAGGGAGGCCAAGGGTGTACCCAATATTTAACAAAGGATTAAAGATACCTTCATACCATTTTAGTGATCCATTCAAACTTTATTTGCTGTTGATGAGCATCCTAAAGCCCCAACAACGAAGGCATATGTTAATGTTGGATGAATGGAATCTAAAACCCTGTAACAACCTCGAAAAAAAAAATAGAGATTCAAGAAAGGTTGCTTCACCTCTCCATATTGACACAGGGATGTGAAGCCCTCCTCAAACAGACAGAGCTACAATATATGATGGTAACGGAAATACCATTATTGGTAGAAGCGTTGATAAAACGATTAGAGGAGAAGGGTACCTCTTGCAATTGTAGAGTAATAGGTAACACTAAGCATGGTGAAATGCAACAAACGCATATGCCTCTGGTGAAACCATCTAGAACAATGGGAGCAAACTATATTGTTAATGTATCTTTGTCCTCCTCCTCATCTTCCCCTTGAGAGATCATTGAGATGCCAAGGGAAACAAGTCATATGCATATATAAGATCATGGCAAGTTAACCTGAGGCTTAAACAAGGTAACTATGGGGCAGCATCACTTAGCTTGTAGAAATTGATCAAACCATTGCGGTCGTTCTTAAAGGCGTTGGACATTCATAAATATCATTCAAATTCTGAAACAACAAACAAAGGTTTTTAAGAAGCTTGAAGAAACCCTGGAAAAGGGGAAGCAAATAGCCCCATTCCTCATCTATCAGGTGTCTGATGCTCAAATGGCAATCAACCTCTAAGTAAAGAATCGATAAGGGCTACACCTTGACTATTTAGAAGGCGATGCTAGAGGATTTCGAAGCTTTGCTATTAGAATAACCAAACACAAAAAAGATATGATATAAACAATCATCATGGTTGGTAACTCATGTGGTATTGGATACCCGATGTCATCTACTTGATGAAATATAATATATAAATACCAGAACTAGTAGTAAAAATAGTAGAAAAAAAAAAAGAAAAAAAAACTCTCATTAATATTAAAATAGGATTACAACATGACTTGAATGAAAATAACAACAAAAATATAAAATGCCACAAGTAAACACTCATAAATGTTTCCCAATGGGTGGCAGAGGTCGGCTAGAGGGATCGGGATGATTGGGAGGGATAACGACAACAACGGGAGGCGGGTGGTAACGACAGGAGGGTAGGGAAAGTAAGTAGGAAAAGATTGTAGGTGGTCGGCAGTGGTAGTGGGGTTGTTGGGAGGAGCTTGAAAGGAGTTAGGAAATGGGTCAGGGTCAGCAGTAATAAACTGCGATAAGGGGGAATGGCTGGGTGTTGGGGCGACGGAGAGAGAGATTGGCGAAGAGTGGGGAGGAGAAAGTTTGGGGAAGGTAAAAGAGAGGATATAATCACAACCTTGGAAAAGATATAGCCAAAGCACAAACATCGCCTCAGATACAACCCACAAAGGAGAAATAAACTCCACACAGGAGATCTAAATCTAAACACATCAAGAACTGAACTCTTATACACAGAAAATAACTATTTATAGAATCCGACACAAAAGGAGGGCAGCAAAATACAAAAAAGTCTTCACAAGTGCGGCAGCCTGCAAAACCTCCACTGATTGCGATGGTTTGCGATTCTGCCTTCGCGAAAATTTTCCTACAATCGTGCCAAGTTTTTTCCCTCGCGGTTTCGAAGCGCCCGCATTATATTATATATATATATATATACACACACATATATATATATATTACATATGATATTTTACTTCATTTCATACTATTTTTTTATTAATAAAAATTAAGATTAAGTCTTTTAATTATGCATTTTATATTAATAATTTATAAGAGAAATGTTATGTCTATAGTGTGTTGTATCATACCTTTTAGATAATGTTACATAATGCTCTGAGCTAAGTCAATCAAATCATTTTTAGGCCATATTAAAAATAAATGATAAGATGTAAAGCACAATCATAAAATGACTACAATTGTTAATTTTAAATTATAATATAAGGTCATAAATGATTTTTGATTTTGTAGCATTCCATTCAAAAAATTTCCTCTTATTTAGATGATAAATTTTAATGGCTTCCCTTGCTTATATGCTTCTTTTGTGCTTCAAAACCAATCTATAAAGTTTCTCATTGAATGTGATGAGTATGATTGAATATTGAAAGCAAGCTGCTTGGTACTCTCCCACCCCAAGGCTATCACAGTTCACTTTTTGTCTACACCATCCCATGGTTTCTCTCATTTGGCTACGTACCTCTTCATCTCTATCCTTTTTATGATCTCTCTCTTAGATTGATTCCTCTTCTCACTAAATCAAATTGCTCTTCAAGGCCAAAGTTTTTCACATCAAAATCAAGATGCAAAAGATTTTTCTTAATAAATATCATTGATTATTGCACTTCTTTTTTGTTCAACTAATGGTATTTTTGTTCACTTCCATTTATTATTTATTCATATGTATCAGTACCATACAACTTTCGTTGCTCGTCTAAGAGTAGCCACTAGCTGTCTTTTTCATTCTTCTAACGCACGATAAAATTGGATCAATCTCCATATTTTATTTCAACATAGGACTCACTTTTCCAATTTCTGTTGGATTACATCAGGGATCGGCTTTAAGCCCATATCTTTTTGCTTTAGTTATGGATGGTCTTACTGGACATCTACAGAAAGATGTACCTTGGTGTATGCTTTTTGCTGATGATATCCTTCTCGTGGATAAAACGAGAGAAAAAGTCCAGGAAAAACTTGAATTATGGAGGTCTACAATGGAGTCTAAAGGCCTTCGTTTAAGTAGAACTAAAACTGAATACATGCGATGTAATTTTAGTAGTAATAGCTCTAGTGACAGAAGTGTGATGGGTGATCAAATTATTAAAAGGTGTGAACGATTTAGATATCTTGGGTCCGTTGTTCAAAGCGATGGTGATATAGATGGGGATGTTAATAGTAGAATTCAAGTTGATTGGTTGAAGTGGAGGAATGCTTCAAGCCTTTTGTGTGATAAAAAAGTACCGCTTGGACTGAAAAGAAAATTTTATAAGACGATGGTGAGACCTGCAATGCTTTATGGCGCTGAATGTTGGTCTTTAAAAGAGAAGCATAATAATAAGTTAAGTGTTGCCGAGATGAAATGATTAGGTGGATGAGTGGCTTTACACTTAAAGATAAAATGCGAAATGAATATATTCGTGATAGGGTTGGTGTAGCTCTTGTGACAGACAAAATTAGAGAAAGTTGTCTTAGATGGTTTGGTCACATTAAACGTTGACCATCTGATGATCAGATTAGGAGAGTAGATGTTTTAGATTCGACTTGTGTTAAGAAAGACAGAGGTAGACCTGGAAAGACTTGGGCTTATTGTATTAAAAATGATCTTAACTTACTAGAACTAAATGGAAATATGACACTAAATAGGACACAATGGAGAAAAAGGATTCATGTAGCCGACCCCACGTAGTGGGATTAAGGCTTTGTTGTTGTAGTTGTTGTTGTATAGGTCTCACCTTGCTCATTATGCTAATTTAGTAATGCGATAATCAAATAACTATTTGAGTTTTATTGGCTGCTAAATGTTTATAGTTAAAAGTATAAAGTCCATATTCCACAAACTAAGCAAGTTGCGCTTACTAAAATGATAAGTACATTAGGTATGTGAATCATCTATGTTTTTAAAAAATTATCCGTAAGATTTCCTATGTCTAAAACTTTAACTATGTCAAGGGTGTAGCATTTACACAAGAATAAATTAAATATTTCTAAAAAATCATTAAAAATACCATCCATCGATAGTAATTTCCAACTTTCTATGAATAAAGATTAATAACAATACATAGCTTTTATAGTGAAAGCAACTAACGTAGGATAAATTAGATTTAGGGTTTTCTTAAAGCAAATAAAATGATACAAAGCACATAAATTAAATTAGAGAATTCAGATTCATAGATTGTAAACAAGCTAACTTGTTTTCTTTAAAAGTAAACTAAAAATACAAGAATTATAACACAAATAAACGAATACCAAGCTTTCTGTAAATGCATATAGAAAATATGAGAATTAGAACCCACATAATAATGAAATTATCTAAGAAATCAATGAGAAATTCAACCTAAATAAATTCTTAGAATAATTAAACTTTAATCGCCACAAAATTCCTAGTTGAGTCAAATTTGAATAAAATTGAGAGCTAGCACAAGATCACCTAAATTCAAGTTTGAATTCAATCCTAAAAGATAAAAATCAATCGATGCTTTTATATTATATCCCACAGATTTATATTCATAATATCCCAAGCAATACAAAAAATTAAATCCCAAATACAACATCAAGAAGCTACATGAATTCACACGAAAACCGAACTCTATAGAGCCGCAACTCCACACCTACAAGATTTCACAATCAAATTCAAACATAAAAATACATAATAGAGGTGACTATTTCGCTGACACCCATTTTACAACTTACCAACTCAAATAGAATGATCAATAAATCACTTGAACAACCCAAACATATTATACAACACATATACAGATCCAGTAAATAAACACAGTTCAAACGATACAATAGCATCCCAAAATATTTCATTCATTCATCTAAAAATTCGAATAAACATCAAAGGTTGTTTGGTAGCAGGATCTAAGCATGACTTAACCTTAACTCCTGCCAGAAAACAAAAATGACACCTTTAAATCTCACATGGGCTTAAATCTAATTTCTCCCTAAATTTAATAACTCTCGCCAGAAGGTGGATTTATAAGTTTTATACAAGTGGAAGTTCACCAAGTGTAATGAGATTAAAGAAGATAAAGATGAGAGGAAGGTAGGTGATAGTTTTGGGTAAATTCAATCAAGGCTATTCAAAAGCAAGCAGAAAATAAGCACGTAAAATTTCTAATGAGTCAAAAACAAACAAATTACTAGCTCAAAGAGCTTATCTATGCCACAAGTGGCAACATCAAAACTTCATTATGTAAATCACATGCAAAATTTGGCCATATTTATTTGCTTCCATCATGGCTATTCACAGAAATGTACACGTAGAGCATGCAATCCAAGAGTAAAATTGTATATATCGGCTCTATTGATTAAACATCAACAATGAAAAGCATATTAAACGTTGGAACTGTATAATAAGTTTACCCAAGTACTAACACTCAGGACCACCCGTTTAACCGCAGCTGGGTAAACCTATTTCCTACTCTAACAAGGGATGGAAGCAGTACTACCTGTCGAATACAACTTGTATATTCAAAAGGTGATTGCCCCTTTAACATTTAGGGAGGAAGAGTTTAATGAGTCACGAGCCATGAATAGAGAAGGGATGGATCTCATACTCGACCTAATGGAGGAAAAATGTGCCAAGTCATCTCTAAGATAGAAAAAAATCAAGGAGAGAGTGGCACAATAGTATGATGCACACATTAGGGAAAGGTCTTTCAAGGAAGGGAACCTAGCCTTGAAGAAAGCTGACACAACAGCATAAGACCAAGCCTTAGAAAAACTCAACCAACATAGATCTGGCTATTCATCACTAATAAATGAGTCTCCAGAGAGCCTACAAGCACCAAACAATCACCAACAAGAGGCAGACTTGGACATGAAACAAGGATGATTTAAAAAATTTTTACACCTAAAAAAGCCATGCAACTTCTCCACTCATAACCCATCTTAGTGAATCATTTGTAATATCTATTGTAAAAATAAAAACTTTGTTTGGATGTCGTTCGTATGATGAGGGTGCGATGTATATTAGAAAAGTACATTACTACTCCTTCGGTAAGCCAAAAACCCACATGCAACAAATGAGGAGCTCACATAGCCTTCGAGTAAGACCTGCAGGAGTGCAGAAGGTCCTCAGGAAGCGAAGGATAGTTCTCGCCCAAAAAAATAACAATCACTTCCATTGAATCAAAAGATTGCCTCTTGAGGATCAAATCTCTTAAGCTAGTGGCAGTCTGACTTAGAGAAGGAATTGTGTGCTCTGATGGTCGCCACCCTATTTGCCAAATTACTCGAACATGAAATTTAGTGTTGCTTGAGGATGGCGAGACACATAGCCAAATGAATGGTAATATAAATCAAGTCATCTTTATTCGACCATAGTGACACATCCTGCATAGAATATAACCGTGGTGAAAATTATCAAAAAGAACAACTGCAAATCAAAAGTTAGTAAGCACCACCATTGAAGTACTGTGCAATAGATATTTTGATAGAAATAAAATTAGCCATAACCATCAAAATATCTGATTGGCCCTGCCAACCTCAATCAACACCAAGACCCCAAGAGAAAATCATCAGCAGGGAAAAGGCCGTATGGAAGACCACATGGTCTAGTCCCCTCCAATGAATCTATCTCTGGGTCAAACGAGCTACTAAGTGTTGAATTCACTTTTTGGTCAACCCTCCCTTGGTCAAAAATCTTGTCCATTCTTCCTTGGAGGTCATTCCATGCAAGGTAAGATTCCAAAGCTTCAGAGGAGCTCAGTAGCTTATGGAACCAAATTTCATTGCCTGGTGTAATCATACCATCTTTTAGTGTGGATAGGCTACTTCTAGCGTAACCACGACAGTAATAGCATGCCTACTCTATAACACCTTGGAAGCACCTTGTGCGGTTCTTAGGCACCTCTCCTATTGATAGAAAAAACTCATTTTTACTTCAACCCTTTGCTGGTTCTTCACTCCAGTGTGCATGTTCAATCTTCTCCTTCCCTTCCCAGGTGTTCTTTGGCTTCCCACTATAAGATTCCTCTTCTTCCTACACTTCCCTTCTACATCTCCTCCACTTCTTCAACTTACCCTCTACTTCTTCCACTTCTTCCACTTTTTCTTCCACTTCCTCTTCTACTGCTACACTCTTCTTCTAATCGCTACATCCTCCTTCTCCCTTCATGCATTTCTTTATGTGGCTTGCCAATATGGAACTCATCTCATGAGAAATTTTTTATGTAATATTCATTTTTAAATGGTTTTTTTTTTATGTGAAGTTAACTTTACTCCATGTATTTTAATCATACAAATGTATGTCATGTCATGTGAAACACTCAAACTCAATATTTAATTTATTTTAAGTGATCTCCATTTGTATCTTCCCTTCATGTGTAGGATTTACATATGTGATTCACTCCACATTTAGGGTCTCAAAGCTTAGTTTATTTTTATGATCTCTGTGTGATTTACTCCACGTGAGCTAATGGAGATGGAACATTAATAGCTCAATGACTACAACTAAGCTTTTAGAATGGCATGTCAACCTTACAAGAAGAGTGAGAACCAGATTATATGATACCACAACTTCGAATCTAAACCTCTTAGTAAGGCAAAACATGATTTCGCATAGAGAAACGTGCAGAATAGAAGAAGTGGTATGTGCCACTTGGGTCTTTATTGTATGGAACATGAGGATAGAAAACTCCGTGAGCATGGGAATCAAAATAGAAAATCAAATGATCATGACTTTTGTTGGAGCACTATGTGTTAATGAACAAACAACTAAATCAAATCAATATATGAAAATGTCCATTTAATAAATTTTTAAAGAATGAAACTCATTAAAAAAGATGAATTTTCCATTACTAGACCTGAAAACACGACGACTGAGTATAATATCTTTAAGCCACAACTATAATAACTCTGTTATTTGATGTTTTAATAGCAATAGTCGCAAAACATCCAAATATCCATTTGAATTTCTTGACCTCTCGTATATAAGAAAAGATCTAATAGCATAAGGAATATAAATATATCATAAATGATTGAGCAGTTTAAATGACCCTACCAAACAAAGTGTAATGTTGGTATTTAAATGGTAATTGGCTCCTGAAAGTAAGAAGATAACAAACCTGTGATTAATTTAGTGGTGTCGGTATCTAATAATAATGGTTGAGGCTTCCTTTGCTAGTGTATTGCTTTTTTGTTGACTTCAAGGTCATGAGTGATGAACCCACAGAGCAACTCATAAATCTTAGTAAGAGTAGAAATGCCTATAGTTGAAACAATTCAACATAACCAACAAAAAGCCATAGTTGAGTGTGTAGTAATTTAACGTAAGTTTTTATTCCTTTTTTCTCTTTAGACATCAATTACAACATCAAAAAATACGTCTCTATTTCCATACAAAAAAAAGTGATGCTTATGGTTTTCTTTCAAAAAATGACAAGAAGCAGTATAAATCCATATTTCTCGAACCAAAGAGAAGCGGTAATAAAAAAAAGGACCTTGAAATGACTCATTCTAGGAAGGCTCTTCAATGAAAATAAAGGAATCATATCACTCTTCAAACAACTAATGTAAAATCCTAGTAAAATGATATGACAGTAAAATGTTAAAATTATTGGTGGTGTGTTAGATGCATGGCCATCCAGACACAAAAGTAAGCTAGATTATTCCAATTTAAACAATTGGTACAAAATATGCATCTTATTCATATCAATCACTATAATACCATAGTAGAGAATGTATCCTAATTCGAAACACTTTCTGATATAACTTTTAAGAGTTTTTAACAGCATATTACTTAACAAAATCCAATTCAAAATTTCTTTTCAATTTGCACATATAGAAACATTCAAATAATGATGATTGACAACTTAGGTCAAAAAATGGACCTCAATACCAAAGTTAACGTTTTCACCAATACAGTTTAGTTTAGTATCTTTCCATCTTGCTGATGAACAACCATCAGTCCATGGATGGAAAGCCAGAATTAGTATCCATTCACACAGAAGCAATGATAAAACGTCCACATTCAATCATAGAAAGCTAGTATAATCCAAAATAATCGACCAATTTTCTTAACTGAAGCCGCAACCAAAAATATTCTAACATCAACCAAATGGATTATGAAATAAGAATCTCTGATTCCTCAATAACATGCAATAATGAGGACATTAATCGAGAAGTTCTAGAGCGCACAGGTATCCGAATAAATGAAAAGAAATGCATGGGAAGCGAATCACCTCGACAGCGTTCTTGAGAAGGAGATCATCCTCTGGATTCCACTTGGTGAAGGACGGCAAAGCGCCCATCCGTTGATGCCCACCGAGAATCGGCGATAATGAGGGGTGCGTAGGGTTTAGGCGTTCGGAAATTGGGGGAGGGAAAGCCTCTCCTTCCTGCCGGAGAGAACCAGGCATTTGGGTATGTAGACGAGCCCAAATAGGTTTTCGGTAGGGCAGTTTAGATTGATGAGGTACATGCTTTCTCTAAAGAGTGGGGTCTTGTTTTTGGGAAAAAAAAATATTACATCAGCACTCCGCACGTTGAGTTACATGCAGAGTCTAATAAAATTACGCCGTTAAAGTGATTGGTCAGGTAACACAAGATAATATTCCCCTCGTGTTATTCAGATGTTATTGTGTGTTATTCAGATGTTATTGTGTGTTATTCAGATGTTATAACACCAGAAATATTTTCAGAATGTAATAACACCTGAATAACATACAATAACACTTGAATAGCATATAATAACACATGAATAACACGAGGGAAATAATCCTTGTGTTACCGGGTCGATCACCTCAACGGCGTAATTTCATTGGACTTTGCACGTAACTCTACGTGCGGAGTCCTGATGTAATATTTTTTCCTTGTTTTTGTGGGTTATGTTTTAAATAAAAGAATTTTCTATAGTAATCTTTTTCAAGCATTGATGAGATCTATAAACTTACATGATCATTTAAGCTTATTTCTCTTACTAAATGTTTCATTCTTTTTAAATTTAATTATATGGAGAATTTTGAGATGGTTATTTTGAGTAACCCTTGATTCATTGATGACAAATAATTTTTTTTTTTCAAAAAAGAGACTCCTAATTCTCCTGCCAATTAAATAAAAATTTAAGGAAATACTCATTTGGGTCGAATTTTCTAATCTACATCTCTTTTGCTGGTAAGAAAATGGTACATCTAAAATTGTTGATAGAATAAGCGTTCCTTTAATTATTAATTTTTTAACTGCCGAAGAATTGTGGGTTACTTATGCAAGGGTTAGTATTCAAGTTAATGTTGAATATCATTATTTTGATTTCTTTTTAATTATCGTTAAAAATCAAGAAATTGTCATTCATGTTATTTATGAATGGAAACCTATTACATGAATGTTGACCTCAGTTTTGTGACGGTATTCCCACTCTCTGTGCAAACCTAAAAGACTTGACCTTAGGACTTCCTAAATGACCAAAGGAAGTACTTACCTATCTGGAAACCCAAAACCAAGGCTATGTTCACTTGGGCCTCATGAGGTTAAGCCCAGACCCTCAACTCCTGGTTGAGTTGGTTTAGGATTTTGGCCTTGTGAGAGACCCAAGCTGGCCCTTGTTAGGTAGGGCATCCCCTTGATCACCCATGAAACCCGAAACCTTAAGAATCTCTCGATAAACCCAAAGCTAATGGCCTATCTCTCCCAAGGTCCAGCTCTCCCTTGGCCCATCCTCCATGGGTTACCCATGACCTACTTTGACCCATCATGACACATGGGTGACGCCAAAATTTAAAATAAATTAATTTAACCTCAATCCAAACACTAAAGGACAAAATGACACTATTAACTATGCCACTCAACACATGGCACCTAGGGCATGACTCCTTAGACCATCCCATGGTGGGTCAAATCAGACCAAATTTGATCTTAGCCACCCCACCAAAGGCTTCGCCAATTAGCCTAAGCTCTCCTTCATGCTTCCCTCACTCCCATTGGCACCATCATGCCCAACACATGAAAAATTGAGAATGCTCTGATTTCACTGCCCCAAGCTTCTGCAGTTCCTCTTCACATGCTCTAAGAAGCCACCAGGGATCCCCGTGCACAACCAAGCTCTCTTTATGGCCTCCCACGACTATAAATAGCCCCAACCCGAGGCTCTTGAGAACACACCAAACTTCTAGGCAATCACTTGGTCCTCTTGCTCCCAACACCAAAACCACTCCCACTTACTAAAGTAAACCATCCCCACCATCCTCAGGCCACTTCCACTACCATAAAACCCCAATTTCAGCCTTGAAATCCAGAGCACTTTTTAGCCTCGATACCAACTTCCCCAAAACCCTAATCTAACCCTCTCGTAAGCTTCACAAGACCTCAAGGCATCTCCCCTAATCAAAATTCAAACTTCTCGCACCCTCCAACCCACTCCAACACTAACCAAAGCCACCATTTGATCTAGCTCATAACTAGAGCCAATTTTGAGGTGAATTGAAGCAAGGAGGAGGTGTGTGGCATCAAGGTGACACTCTCTGTCAAACCCAATTGAGGCCTCACCTCTTGAGATAAGAAATGGATTCAAACTTTAAAAATTGAGCCTCTGTTTGGTCTTTTATGAAAGAAATGAACAATGCATGTCCACTTAAGTGTATAAATATGTTTGTCTCACTTAGATGAAGAGGAACAAACCCCATGTGATTTAGTTAAGTCTAAGCTGAGATCTTAGGGTTTGATCACAGATGGATCTCGGTTCTCTGTCCCAAGGGGACGATAAACTGACACCGTCCATTTTTGTGTATTAGAAATGGACGGCGGAGATCGAACCAGACTACTGAACCACGTGAGAGGAGTGCGTCAGATTAAAGCAACCTCAACAACAATGTGGAAAGCACACCCAATCACACGACGTCGTGTGTGGCTTCAGAGCAAACGAGGTTGATGTGGTTGATGAGTGGTTAAGTAAGAAATTTTGTTTTTCTGAATTAATTAAGCCTAAAAAATTAAATAAAACTTCAAAAATTCATATCTTCTCAAATAAAAATCACAAAAATAAAATAAAAATATATCTAGACCAAGGAAGCAAAGGAGAGAATAATAAAAAGAAAAATAAAGATAATTAATGTATAATTATAATTAATTTTTAATTAATCAATTACTCCATAGAGTATTTTAATAGAGTATTTTAATTGTTGAAAATTAAATTTAAAGTAGAAAAATATGAAAATTTCAGGGATGTTTCCCTCCATCCTTGGGGACATTTCCTGATTTTTTTTTCCAAGGTTAGGGCACCTCCCTAACATTAAAATGACTAATTTTCTACCAAAAGTATAATTATTTTTGAAAATAATTATAAAAATTAGAATAAAAATCAGAAAAATGCAAATAAAAAAGGAAATTAAAAAAACGACAAATTTGTCCTCTGGAGATTTAAAATGAAATTTAGAAAATTAGAGGTAAATGTGTAAAAAAACTAATTATGATTATGCATTTTGCCCAAGTTGTTCTCTTAAATTTGAAAATTAGTGTAAAAGCCCTAGCCTAATGAATCATTGAAGGCTTGATATCATAATTATCCCCTTTAATTATGAAACCACTCTTAGTGAGCTTAGATCCAACCCAAATTGGACTTAGCCCGATCAATTTTGATCAAGGTCTAACTCAGATTAGACCTAACCCAAATGAATTTAGTTGAACTCAATTTGATTGGGGTTAGCTTAAGTCTGACCTAAATCAGATCTAATATGGCTCAAGTTAAGCCTAGGTTAGGTCTAGGTCCAACCTCACTTAGATCTAGCTCAACCTAACTCAAGTCTCGGACCCATTCTAGATCTAGCCCAAATTAAACCTAATCCACCATAATTCAAACTTAGGATTGACATAGGTCCAACCCAACTCGGACCTACCTCAATTCAACTTCAACCTTAACTTGAACTAAACCAAAACTCAATCCAATTTCACACTAGGCCTATCCTAATCTAGGCTGAAATCAACCTAAAACACTAGTTCAACCCTACTTAAATCAACCTAAAACACTAGGTTAACCCGATCTACTTGGGTTAACCCAAATCAACCTAAATCAGCGGGTCAACCCAACCTAACTCTGGTTAACCCAAATCAACTTAAAGCACCAGGTCAACTTGATCGAACTCGAATTAACCCAAATCAACTTAATACACCATGTTAACTTGACCTAATTTGGGTTAACCCAAATCAAGTTAAATCATCGGATTAACTTGGCCGAACTTGGGTTAACCCAAATCAGCTTAAAACACCAGCCCACCCCGACCGATCTCAAGTTAACCCAAATCAACTTGAATCACCGGGTCAACCCGGCCGAACTCGGGTTCACCCAAATTAACCTAAACACTAGGTTAATCCGACCTAACTCGGGTTAGCCCAAATTAACCAAAACCATCAAGTCAACCCGACCTAACTTGGGTTAACCCAAATCAACTTAAAACATTTGGTTAACCTGACCAAACTCGGCTAAACCATGGGGTCAACCCAACCTAACTAGGGTTAAACCAAATCAACTTAAGACACTAGGTCAACCAGATCTAGCCCGGGTTAACCCAAATCAACTTAAACAACTTGAGCTAACCCAAACCCAATCCAAACTCAACCCGGTTTAACCCGACCTAACTCGGCTGAACTAAAAATCAATCCAAACTCAGCCCAGGCTAACCCGACCTTACACGGGTGAACAAAAACCAATCCAATAATCAACTAAATCGAATTCAATTCTAATCCAACTTAGACTTGACTTAACCAAATTGAGTCTGAGTCTAACCCAACTTAAAATTAACTCAATCGAACTCAAGTCCAATTTAATTGAGCCTTGACTTAGGAAACCCAACCTAAATTCAGTTAGATCATAATCAACTCCAACTTTTTTTGGATCAACCCGATCCAACTCAAATTAATCCAAATCAACTAAGGACAACTCAAACCTAAGTAACCTTGGGTTAAGTAGTGTTTGACTTTACATAAAAGAAAAAAAAAACACACTTAACGCCTTCGGGGATGACTTGGGCTAAGATGCCAAATAAACATAAAAGACATAAAATGCACCCTAAAAATCATTAATACTTTAACTTTAACCATAAAATGCAAGCTGGTTTAAGAAGGCACTTTGGAGGAGGTAACCCATCGATGCTAACAAAGTATCTTTTGATCATTTGTGACTAATAAAATTGCAAACCACAACTACTTCGGGAGGATGGAACGATGGGAACTTGGTCGGGTCATTTCAAACATCAAAATAAAACATAAAATCACAAAACTTAATCAATTAAGAAGTCTTAAGCAACCAAAAATTCTCAACCACTAAAGTTCAAAAAAGACATTAAAAATTCAGTGGAACCCTAATCAACAAAGATTTCTGAATGCAACTTTAACCATACTACCCAGGCCTACGAAGATCACTTGGACGACACAACTCATGGTTGTTGATAAGAATCTTTCAGTTGGATTAGACTTAACCGCTTCCTTAAA